ACCCCTCCTTCCAGAATCAAGAGGCCTGAGAGGCTGGGGGACTCCACAGCTGCACCACCAGCAACATTCTGCCTGTAATTGGTTTCCACAGAAGCTTCGTCAGAGTGGAGGAAAAATCTCAGATGCTGCCTCCTGGGGACCCTTCTAAGGCAGCAGAGACGCCCCCTCCTCACCTCATAGGGTTTGGATCACCCAGCCCCTATCCCTCGAGCCTCAGCTCCTCTGACCACCTGCCGAGACCCTGCATAATCTGCAGTTCAGCTGAGAAGTGCCTCCTCCAGGAAGGCCTCTAGGACCACCCTCTCAACCACCCCAGCTCATCCTCCTCTGAGCTCCCAGCAAGTGTAACAACAGTTGTTACCATTATGGAATGCTCTGTTTCTCCCAGCACGTTTAACTGTGTCACTGTATCCTTGTGGGTTGGAGCTGTTATAATCCCCGTTTTACAGTTGAGAAAACTGAGACTCGAGGATCAAAGGAACGTGCCAGTTGGGAGCTGCTCTGCCCTGAGGCTGCTGGTTTGTGCATGCATCTCTCCTGGGGCTGGGAGCTTTCTGAGGGCCAGAGTCCCTGGTGAGTCCAGACACACCACACGGGGCTGGAACAGCACACCCTGTCATTTTGCAGAAGAGAGAAGCCAAGACTTAGGTGGTCATGCTGCCTGTTGGCTCAAGTCTGGATAGAACTTGAGTCTCCTGGGTGCCAGGCCAGGTATGACGAGGCCTGGGTGGGCTCACGGGGGTAGGGGAGCAACGTTCATCCCCCTCGGCCATCGGGCAACCCTTGGCCACCCTCATTCTTTATATTTGTGTACTGTCAGTCCCCCGTCTTCTGGCCTCAGTGGTCCCCTGCCTTGAGGCACCCCCACTCTCTCCAAACCTTAGTTTTCTCATCTGCCAAATGGGAGCACGACACCCCCCCCCGCTGTGATGTCCTTGAAGGCACTGGCCAGGGCTGGGGTGACCACTGAGCCAGGCCCCGGCTCTCAGGATGATGACTCCATGCTCTTAGCATCATGGTGAACAAGGTGCAGGTCGGGTGGGGCTTGTCTGAGGAAGTGGCCTCAGAGGGGACCAGACCCGTCGAGCGCGAGACAGGCTCCCCGAGCCTGTCTGACAAAAGCGGGACAGTCAGCCGCTCTGCCGCTCTCCTCCCTCCCGCCGCCCCGACTGCGGTCCTCCTGCCTTTGAAACCTCCCAGCACCATCTGCAGGACCATGTGGGCCCCGCGCTCCCTTGGCAGAGCCTCCAAAGCAGCTCCTGGAAGACGCTGGGCAGCAGGCGGCTGGCTTCTGAGAATCCGCACCAAGAAAACGCACCCTGTCTGTCTGCCCACTCGTGGCACCTGCCCAGGAGGCCCTGCTGGCTGCAAGCATTTCTACATCAATCACTTTGCAGCCTGAGCCCTAGGGAGAGGCCCCGGAGCTGGACCAACGGATATTTTAGCCTTGAAAGTAATCAACAATTAGTTTGTTTCCCTACCCTTCTCCCCTTTGGTGCCTAAGTGGGGATTCCTGTTCTGTGGGTGGGGGAAGCAGACACAATGAGCCTTTACTGACCTCCCTCTATGTATCTTCCTGTCCGGCTGATCCTTGCTTTGTAATTGAAGGCCTTCTGCTTGGTGACATCAGGCCATCCGCATCCCTGAAGTCCAGCTGGCTTCCAGAAATCTGAAGCCACAGCTGCAGTTCACCCTGAGCCTCTGAGTCAGAAACAACGCGCTCCTGGGAGCCTGGGAGGCCCCGAAGACGATCTGTGGCCTGTGCACACTTGGAATGTCCTCATGCTTGGCCACGATGCACTGTGATCGGCTCGAGGCCAGGGTTTTGAGTCTGAGATCCCAGCCAGTGTCCAGCACGCTCGGTCACTCAGGATGTTAGCCAAGGAATCAGGACAGCCCGTGGCAAAGGGCGGCAACATCAAACTGCAGGTTGTAATCCGTTGGCAGGTGGAGAATTCAATTTAATGGGCTGTGATCAACATTATTTTGTAAAATCAAATGGAGTGGCATAGGTTAGAACAGGAGAGAAGATATTAGCACACATCCATCTTAAGGGCAAGTATTGTTTCGGGAAGCTTCTGTTTCAGATGCAAATACCTGTGAGTGTGTGTGTCACCCTGTAAACCGCATTTCGCTGGATCACAGTCAGAAAGCCTAAAAGCCACTTCTGCAGAGCCGGGCGTGGATGTGTCTCGGCCCTTCGGGGGATGGGGGTGTTACGATTTGTTACCACTCAGGGTAAAGCGCCGTGTTGGCAAACAGTGGCTGTGGCGTCTGAGCTGGTGCAGAGCTGAGCCGTCTTGTCGGGGACGTCCGCCACGCTCAGCTGGTGTGGCTGCTTTTCTGAGAGGAGGAGAGAGGCAGGGAGGCCCCGGTGGCCCAGCAGCTGTGCTCACCCCCACTGGTCATGCACCCAGGTTGAGACCCAGCAGGAGCCCTGCTTGTTACTGGCACCCAGCCCCAGAGGGCAGCGAGAAAGAGGGTGGGCTTAGAGGTCAGCTCGTGGCATGAGAAGCCTGGCAAGGAGACAAGGAGGCAGGTTTGGGAAGCTCTGGTTCGTGGCAGACGAAAGCGTGGACATGGGTGGTAGGACAGTGGCCTCTGGGTGTCCAGCCTGGACTTAGGCTGAAGAGGGAAGTGAGGGTCAGACCATCCACTCATGGCTGCCTGACTTCTGGCCAATGTCCAGGCTTCTGTCTACTGCAACGAGGAGGGGCCAGGGGCCAGAGAACCAGGCTCCCGGGGTTGGGTAAGGATCTGGTGAACAGTGCGTGCACTGGGCGAGGAGGACTTACCCTGAGCGTCGCTGTGGTCAGCTCCCAACACCGGCCGGTCTTGGCTGCTCTGCCCGTCTGTCCCAGTTTCTAGGGCTCGTGGCCTGCCCGTGCCTGGAAGCGTGGCACCCCCGCTTGCTACTTCATCACAGCAGTAGCAGGAAAGTGATGATGACAATAATACCAGCCACTCTGTAATGTATTCTTCGCTGTGGTCTGGGATGCGGGCTGATGAGCAGGTGAGGGAAGTGAGCCCTGGGGGAGAGGAGTGATTTACCCAAACCACACACGGGAACACAGGGCCCAGGACCTGGCCCTTCGTCCAGGGCTGTCCCGGATTCCCCCCAGTAAGCCGGCCCCGCCGGCCAGACCCTTTCTCCCTACTCCTCTGATCAGCCCTACTTCCCGCCAGAGTGGGGTCCCCTGAACCAGGCCTCTGCCCTGTGCTCCTCTGCCCCAAGGGCCCTGACTCAGCTTCCCCAGCCGGCTCCTGAACTGGAGGTGCTCCGTGGGACATTTGAGTGATTGAAAGAGGCTTGGGGCAGCCCGCCTGGGACAGCTGGGGAGGAGATGTACCCAAGTCAGGAAGGAAGGGCTGGGCGTGGCCTGGGCAGGGGCCGAGGGAGAGGGGAGGAGGGGGACCCTGGTCGGGCTTGGGTCTCCAGGCTCTTGGTCTCTTTGGGCTGGTGTGGGCTGAGCAGTGATGGTGTCCCAGGCCCTGGCTTACTCTCAGCGGGTCGCCGCAGCCTATGGGGGAGGTGCTGCTGTGATCCGCATTTTACAGATGAGGAAACTGAGGCTCAGAGTGGTGGAGTGACTGATCAGCACTGTTAAGTGCGAGGGCCTGAGCTCTAGAGCCTGGGCCATGACCCCTGCCCCTCCCTACCCCTGTCCCCGGCCCCTCCTGCCCCCAACCCGCATCCTTCCTCCTGTCTAAACAGGCTCTGCTGCTCGATGCCTTCTCCGGGGGAGCGTCTGAGCTTTTGCCAGGATTAGGCCTTTCAAAGGGCGCGTGCTCAGGGTCCCAATCTGCAGCCATCAATACGGCTCTCCTCCGCTGGCTCTCAGATCTCTGAGCCTGATCGAATTTCCTTCCGCGCCAGTCCCTTCTGAGAGCTTTCACGTGTCAGGGCAGGGCCAGGTTGGAGGTAGCGGAGCAATAAAAATGGTGTTGCCTCCCTCCTGCCACCTGACGTCAACGCTGCCCCAGCACTGGCGGACCGGTCCCCATGGACAGATGCCGCACAGGGCAGTTCTGGGCGACTGAAATCAGGCTGCTTAGTAATGAAACGGTGCTGTGGCCAAACCTCTAACACCTCAGAGGCGGGCACAGATGGAGGCAGTGGGGCAGGGGGTGGGTGCTGCCTCTGCAAATGAGCGAGAAAAAAGGCTTGTTAGACACAAAGAGGTGGGTGGGGGGCGCGAGCCAGGAACAGGATCGTCAGCGGATCTTGTAAATACTCCAGGCAGCTCTGGCCTGGACCAGTGTGGTACTTATTTCAAAGCAATTTGACCAATGGGATTCCCGACTCCCAAATCAGGAATGTTATTAAAATGAAGAACGGAGGCAGCCCGGCCGCTTGTCAGCACCCGAGTCACAGCCCCGCCGGCTGTGGGCTCCTCGTCCTCCCCTGAGAGGTGGCCGGGGCTCTGCCTCCCCAAGCCCCCGCCCCAGCCCCTGCCCAGGCTTTTTATAAGAGGGGATCTGTGGTGCAGGACTCCGGCAGGGGCGTGTGAGAGGTGGAGCTCTGGAGGCCAGCCCTGGGGGCACGG